TCCTTTCATTGCTCATATTTAATTTGTATAAAAAACATAAAAAAGTAAAATTATATTCGCTCCCGGAGGAGCATAGGGCAATACATCCCTATCTCACTCTTTTGATTTGTCAAGCACGGTTGAAATTCAAAGTTAGTTAAATTCAAAGTTTATACTATTTTGACAACAATCAAAGTCATTTTTACCCTTGTCATTGGCATTGTATTTCTTTTCAAAAATGCACGGCCTTCAGGCAATTACCTCGGTCCCAAACTATTAGATCATATCAAGTGAGCTGACCTAGATCACTGCAGATTTTGCGCTAGATTAATTACATTAGAATTCGTGCACTAAGGTAAAAAACTTGATTTGTTTTAAAAAATGGAAGGGAGCGAGGTTACCTCTCCCTTTTGATAAAAGTTGTCATTACATGTAGTTTTTGAGATTAAAATTTTCCGTACAATAATTATGCATTAAAGTGCATGCTTCAATGTTGTGTTTTTATTATATTGCTAATAAATAGTCTCTAATAAAATACTACCAAAAATCTAGAGAATGTAAGCGTTCAATATCTTGACGTTTTATTGAACGCTGAGTTTGTTGCCTGACGTCACGGCGTCAGGCTGTATAAGGATTGATATTTCCAAGATCCGAAACTAATAGATCATACCTAGAGAGCTAGATTTTGTGTGAGCTGATTTACATTGGAATTCTTTACCTGCATTTTAAAAGAAACAGTTTTCAGAAAAAAGAATGAGATTACTGATGCAAAATACTGCAGTGTTTACTTCCTTTACTCTTTTTGCATGGAGCAGATCACTCCATGTGATTCACCGTTTCAGCATGTCCGTGTATCCTTTTTTCTGCATTTCTATACTACTGGATCAGTCCATTTATTTCTACGAAAGGGGTAAATCGACCTTTTCGCGCCAAATGTAGTAATCTATCTTCGCGCCATTTCTTTGGAGTGTTCCATTGTACGATTGGGTGTGCTAACTTTCATGAAATTAACTTTTAACCTCCTTCGAATGCTTCAAAATTCTGTTTACAACTTTTATCTCATTCCTTTAAACAACAGATCGTATATATCAGTATATATATAGACATGCAACACTAAAGAAATGATTTTCTAATTTGTTTCCCGATCCCGCTGTTGGTTTCATCCATAAATGGACTAGTTCAACACAACGCAAACTAGAACAACGCAATTCAACAAGTCATGTTCTCCAGATGCATGATCTATTATATGTCTCTGTTCAGATGCACACAATTTGTAAGAAAGCAGCGCAAAATATTTTTTTTTCTCCCACGAAGGCCTAAACCTTTACTTTACTTTATTTCATTCTCAAAATATTATAGTGGAACCCCCCCCCCCCATTTTAAGAAAAAAACATTGAACATATTACTATTAAGTATTTACATCAGTGGAGAAAATACACTCCAACAAAATGTATACATTCAATTACACACATCTTTTAAAATGTTACTATAGTGTAGTGCATAATGCATAATTTGACAACAGATTTTATACTACGTGTTTCAATGTAGCTTGATCCAAGGGCAGACCACCCCTACAACAGACCCCCCCCTCCCCCGAATAATGTTCAACTCTTAAGTATCATGTATGCAGTGTAGAGATGATTCTTCTACAAGTTAAATAAAATCAAGGATCATTTACATAAGGTTCTCAAATATTTAATAGTAAGAACATTTTTTAAGCCCACAAAAGTATTGCTCAAAAGGTTTATCACTCCGGTCCTCGTGCAGATATTGATTGATTTAGTCAGGCAAGCTTTTTAAAAAGCTGTTACTTGTATTATGTATACGAGTTTGCCCGAAACATTCCAAATACGAGCGTTCAATATCGAACGCCCCATTGTAAACAAAAAAAGTCGTCTGGTCAAATTCTCAGAACTACATTGAAGAAAGGCAGTCACTGTGACATCTGGGTAAGATGTGTTTATTTTTACACAAAAATGAAATTATATATTAAAAATGTAGTACGTATAAGACCCATTATAACCTTAATAGGCAAATTATAAGGTTCGATATGGTTATTGGAATGATGCGATATTGAAGACTTAATATACGAACAGGTGTTAATTTGAATACCGATACTAAAAAATCATTAATTTGAGATTTTTTTTTAGTTGGAACAATTATTATAACTTATGAGGAAATGTTTAAGCAATATAATAAAGGAGAAATTGTACATACGTAGAGCATGCTCTTGTGTATCGAATCAACTGAGAGATGTCAACTGCATGTGCAGATAATGAAAGTATATTGCTGCATAAGTAAGTGAAGTTGGCGATAAAAAAAGTTACAGTCATCACGTTTATCATAAAGTTTGTTTGTACGATTACCATTTACCGATTTATCGGGGAATGGTTGTATTTTTGAAGTAAAATATCCAAATATGAAACTTATATGTCAGGCTCTATATTATCTTTTATCTCAACCTCACCGGGATATATCGTTTTGACATAAGAATGGAAAGAACCATTGTTATGCCGATACGTCGCTGATATACCTTAATTAATTTCGAGTTGACGGCCACAGCAAGAGTTTTTTTCAAAGTCTGGACAAAGTCTTCTTCATATGAATACAAAAATATCGGTCTACTAATAACGGGACGCAATTGGTACCCTTGGAAATTCCAATTTCTGTTGGAAGACCTGGTTTCCAAAAACCACCTAGATACTTAGATATTGTCAATCAGAAACTCTGTTTTATGTCAACTTCAGAGTACTTGTGTGTATAATCAGAATGTTTTAACAATCTAATTTTGCAAATGACAAATATCAAGGTAAGTTTATTTTCGAGTTCCATTTTTATTAAAAAAAAAACAAGAGGCCCATGGGCCACATCGCTCACCTGAGAAGCTTTGACAATTCTGTACTTTACTAGATTTACCCCTTGTAATACATATTGTGACCCCACCCCACCCCACTGATCATAATTTAGACAATTTGAAATCTACACAGATTTTTCCTATATATTTCTATGTAAAACTTTGATTCCCTATTGTGGCCCCGCCCAATCCCCGGGGGTCTTGATTTGAACAATTTAGAATCTACTCTACCCCAGGATGCTTTCATATAAGTTTCAGCTTTTCTGGCACAGTGGTTCTTGAGAAGAAGATTTTGAAAGATGTTTCCTATATATTTCTATGTAAAACTTTGATTCCCCATTGTGGCCCCGCCCAACCCCTGGGGGTCATGATTTGTATAATTTAGAATCTACACTACCCCAGTATGCTTCCACATAAGTTTCAGCTTTTCTGGCACAGTGGTTCTTGAGAAGAAGATTTTGAAAGATTTTTCCTATATATTTCTATGTAAAACTTTGATTCCCCATTGTGGCCCCGCCCAATCCCCGGGGGTCTTGATTTGAACAATTTAGAATCTACACTACCCCAGGATGTTTCCACATAAGTCTCAGCTTTTCAGGCACAGTGGTTCTTGAGAAGATTTTCAAAGTTTTTTCCTATATATTTCTATGTAAAACTTTGATTCCCCATTGTGGCCCCGCCCAATCCCCGGGGGTTATGATTTGAACAATTTAGAATCTACACTACCCCAGGATGCTTCCACATAAGTTTCAGCTTTTCTGACACAGTGGTTCTTGAGAAGAAGATTTTCAAAGATTTTTCCTATATATTTCTATGTAAAACTTTGATTCCCCATTGTGGCCCTGCCCAATCCCCGGGGGTCTTGATTTTAACAATTTAGAATCTACACTACCCCAGGATGTTTCCACATAAGTCTCAGCTTTTCAGGCACAGTGGTTCTTGAGAAGAAGATTTTCAAAGTTTTTTCCTATATATTTCTATGAAAAACTTTGATTCCCCATTGTGTCCCCGCCCAATCCCCGGGGGTTATGATTTGAACAATTTAGAATCTACACTACCCCAGGATGTTTCCACATAAGTTTCAGCTTTTCTGACACAGTGGTTCTTGAGAAGAAGATTTTCAAAGATTTTTCCTATATATTTCTATGTAAAAATTTGATTCCCCATTGTGGCCCCGCCCAATCCCCGGGGGTCATGATTTGAACAATTTAGAATCTACACTACCCCAGGATGTTTCCACATAAGTTTCAGCTTTTCTGGCCCAGTGGTTCTTGAGAAGAAGATTTTTTAATGACCCCACCCTATTTTTGTCTTTTCTTGATTATCTCCCCCTTGCGAGGGGATATGTCCCTTCATTTTAACAATTTAAATTCCCCTTCACCCAGGGATGCTTTGTACCAAGTTTGGTCAAAATTGGCCCAGTGGTTCTTGAGAAGAAGTCGAAAATGTGAAAAGTTTACGGACGGACGGACAGACAGACGGACAGACGGACGGACGGACGACGGACACAATGTGATCAGAAAAGCTCACTTGAGCCTTCGGCTTAGGTGAGCTAAAAAAACAGATGTTGATGATGTCAAAAAGCTTTGACTTTAATTTATCGGGGAATGGTTGTATTTCTAAGTTGTTGATTTTGGTAAAATTTTCTTGGGATTTTTAAGTATATACATCTGATTAACACCTCTTCTCAAATATATATCACAGTTGTAATTCAAAAACCGTGAAAAGCAATATTATAATAAAAAATATATATGTTCTTGTTGGCAAATATATGTTAAATGAAATAAAAGCAACCAATAAAATTTACTAGTAATCCCCTTCATTGCCTCTTCATCTTTCCTTTTTTGTATTACTGGCTTTGGAGGGACGAGAAGACGGGTCCTTTGGACGAGACAGTATATAACTCGAAGTCCCTTGTCGAGTGTACATGTATTAATGAAAAACACGTATTATATTTATAATTGTAATTTTTCATTTATGCCCAGATGCAAGTCAGACTTTATTTGCTTGGTGTTTCCTTCCAATTCAAATGAAATGTTAAAATAAATAACTATACAGTATAAGTAAAAATAAGTGAAAAAAGGAATTTCAAAGAAAATACTATTCTCATTATTCCATGTACATGTATGTTGTTGGTTCTTTTACTTATTAAGTAACAGAAATAATATCAATATTTATGTCGTATTGCATACAAGGAAGATATAGATTGTTTGTTTGATTCAGTGTTCGTTCCGTGCTTTCTGGTTGGAAGGACTATCTCATCAACAATCATCTGTGATTCTCTTAAGTCATCGTAGGACATTTCATATTCCCAGTCATCTTCTGAGTAATTTTCTATATAAAAAAAAAGTAAATGTACATTTTGTTTTTTTAAGTGTTTTGTTAATCTTATATTAAACTATTCTTGCTTCACTTCTACATACAATAAGCTTTTACAAATTTTTATTGAATATCAAATCTGTTTTAATTGATGTGTTTTCGTATGTTTATATTTTTCTATGAATTTTTTATTTAGATTAAGAGGTGGAAATATACTACCGATTTTCTTTACTTTAGTTTCCAGCTCTCCTTGAATCGTGTGAGATGACCTAGATAGAATTAGATTAATTAGATTAGATGATCTTTTTTTATCTGATACTTTTCTTTATTTTCTTAAAATACACTGTAAACCAACTTTTATTCGCGACGACTTTATTTCGCGATTTACCGGGGGTAAATTAGTTTACAACGACTATTTTTCGCGCTCAAGGCTATTTTGGTTCTCTAGTTAATAGACACATAAACTTTTTAAAGGACCGGTTCGAAGCGAGAAATATTCACGAGAATAAGGCTCTCGCAAACCTAGCTAAAATTTCCCGCACGCGAATAAAAGTTGGTTTACAGTATGTTAAACCTATCATTGATATGTTTTCTATTTAAACCAATCATTAAACAGCAAGGATAAATTAAATTTATGCAGAGTATGTATTAAAACGATATATTATATGTCTTTTTTTATTTTTTCCCTTTTATCCGAGAATCAAAGATACCTTTTTCGTACAAAGTTGATTACTAACACAACAACCAAGGAACCGATGATAACCACAACGCCAAATAATATTAGTAACCAGCTTTCTAATGAGATGCCTTTCAATTTCATATTATTGACTGTTGAAATCTGTACTAATAAGGAAAATATTTTTTTTTAAATTATTCCCAAAAATAAAGATGAGAACAGAGAGCATGAAATGAAAATGTATCAAAAATAAACAAACAGACTGACTGAAGTACTAGTATATTTTTTTCATGTAACAGGAAATCACTTATTTGGAATTCAAAATTAAAGCTCAAATTCCGGAACTAAATAATTCAGTTCTAGATTAGGGACCGACATTTTTATGATCATACATTATATCATTTTTTGTTTTTAGTGAACATACTCATTTTAAGAAAATAACTCACGACATGTTCCATTTATTCTGTCACACGTATTACAGTTGCATTTTCTCCGACATCCAAAACCATAAAACCCAGGTACACATTCTTTGTTGCACTGAGGTCCGAAATACCCGATACATTCTGAAAATTGTTAAAACATTTCTTGTTGAAAGATAACATAACATATTTTATATGTATATAAGGAATATGTGTATTATTTGTAAAGAAGTTTGCCGAGAGAGAGAGAGAGAGAGAGAGAGAGAGAGAGAGTCCGTTATCGATAATATTTTTATTGTTTCTAAATGTTATCATAGATACTTTTTCTAATTTCTGTTATTATTGTCGCTGAAAAGTGTATGCCCAACAATTGACTGACTAGTTGTTTTTTTAAAAATGATTTATACATAAAATAAAATGCATACATGTAAAAAAATTATGCTTTTAAAAAGATGTGGAACACACGGAAGATTTAATGCAATATTACAACATTCTTGCTCTCTGACGTCAAGATAAATGAGAAATGATATGTATATTAGGTTCTTGAACTTTGCTCAGCAAAATATACAGATTACAACACTTATAATATTGCATAAATTCCCATTTTATAAGGATTCTCTTCTCCACGTTAATCCAGGGTTAAGCTCTCTCTCTCTCTCTCTCTCTCTCTCTGGAATCTGTTTCTCTAGAAAGAGACGTCGCCCGCGTGACGCAGTGGTTAGGGCGTCTGCTCTAGAGTCGCGAAGTAAGGAGTCAATCCCTACGTCGCGGGTTCGAATCCCACTGTGCGACGTGGAGACCGGTCCTTCGGATGAGACCGTATAAACCGAGGCCCCGTTTCGCAGTATGTGCTGGCACGATAAAGATCCAAAACAGCTCAAAGGCCCTAATTAAGTGCCGAGCATACGACAAAATTTGTAGCCTTCCACCGGCAAGTGGTGGCGTCTCCATATGATTGAAAAATTCTCGAGAGGGACGTTAAACAACATACAATCAATCAATCAATCTAGAAAAAGATCGCTTTACCAATTGGCTTCCTAGGCAAATCAAAACACTTGCTTTCGACACCCATGATTCTGCATATCGACATTCAACACATTGGGCAAAAGTGAATATACATAACAAGAGAATTTCTCTACGCTTCATATTTTTTAATCTAGTTTACTAAAGGCCACAGGTGCTCAGATTGCTTTGATCTGACAGCTTTGTTAGATAAGATCTTCTCGATAAAATGTGCTATATGTTTGTGTAATTTCATTGAAATTTTGAAATATATTAAATGCATAGAAATTAATTGAATTCATTCAAGTTGAATCTCATTTCTATTTTCAATGTTTGTTTATTGCGCCGCAAGAAAAATATCTTCATCGAAGCTTTCTGTGATTGCCAACTGAAGATACTAGTACCCGAGTGTTCTAGGTCGCAGCACCTGTATAGCTGGGAAACAGATTCAGCACGTCAAGATAGAAACCCCGGGACACAGGTGTTTGGGGATGGCACCCTACCCCATCCTGTTTTCTGTACCCCAATGGTTCGTTGACTTTTTAAAAAAATATATTTTTCTTTGATATGTTCACAAAGAATAACAACTGAAAAATCCAAAATTAAGCTAAAACTAGCATTTTATAAATTATCGTACTCTCTGATACTAAAACAGAACAGAGATTATGAAATTTTATAAAAGCTATTTTCAGCTTAAATTTTGGATTTTTCAGCTGTCGTACTGTGTGAATAAGTTATAGAAAAATATTTAATTTAATCAAATTAAAGAACCCTTGGGTGCAGATCAGAGAAGGGGGGGGGGGGTCCGTTCCCAAGCACCTTACAAAAACTGCTAATATATAGACGTTTTTCTAAAAGACAAAACTTTCTACGTTTTGATTATGCATGTAGTGAGTATTTATCAAAAGCATAAATCATAGAAAGTTAAATAGTGACACTATAGCAAGCTACTCACCTATACACATATCTCCATTTTTCACGTAATCTGTACAGCATTTTAACTCCTCCCTAGGAAATGAACACTCATTTAGGTAATTCAATCACTTATTACTAAAAAATCGGCGTTAAAGTGTTAAAGCATAAACAAAGTTTACCATAAGTCTTACCCCTCCTTGCTACATATCCCTGATTTTGTTGTTTGGCATTTAACAGATGTGATTGTGAGACACAGCGAGAAGACCGGGCTCATTATATAATAACAAAACTTCATTTTTATTCAATAATTCACATTACTCAATATCTGTCGAATTTATATCTGCACTTCCTTGAAATACTTCCTTAAACTCGAAATGATTTAACCAAAATGACAGAATTATGCTTTGCAATTTATTAACATGTATAATTTAAACTCATTTACACATTTTTATTATTATTATTAATATATATAATAAAATTTAAAACGAATTCTGTTTATTGTATTGTCTAACAGTTCCAAAACTAGATTTTTCTGTATTTTTATTTACGATTAGATGTACTTTCCACAAAGAAAAATGTTTTTTTTTTTTTAAGGAGAAAAAAATTCTATCATGTCATTTGCAAAACCACAGACGCTTTTTCTCAGAATAAGGATATTAATTCTGTTAATTATGGAAAGACGAATCTTCCTGACTTATAGTTGATATTATTGTTCGATTTGTTGCTCTTGCTGATTAGATATTTTATGATAGAAAAATGCTTTGGTTTTGTAGCTTCTTTTTTTCAGCATTTTAATTATTTCAACAACTACGACAATTAAATTCAATCATAGAATGGCCTTTCATAGAAATATTAAATGCACTCTGAGATACATGCAGATTATACATCACATGAACCGAGGATAAATATAGCATTAACATTTATATAAACAGAACTTTACATAACCAATTACTCTTTTAAATAACTGATGTCACCAATACTAGTCAGAATATTCAGGGTGTTTAAATCATGTACATTTACTTATAATTTACTCAATATATATTTTACAGGTAGATTTTTGAAATCACTGACTATATATTAATATATAATATAGGTTTAAAAAGGGGGGGGGGCACATGTTTATAAATTTACAGAAATTTTGATATTTTTCCACTTTCACCGGGCCACTGTTGCATTTGGTCACTGTGATAAAAGATTCATAAAGATATTAGAAATAACAACTGAGAATGTCACTTTAGGTTGTAAAAGCATGCATCAAAATTTGGATTTTATAAGATATGCAAGAGGCTCCTCATAGGAATATTCAGAATACTGATCCAACAAAAGGAACTCATACGAGGGTCATTCAAAAAGTTTTGTCCTCCCAAGTCCTCCATAAAAAATGAACGTAGATCACTTCAAACACACTTGTTATGGTTCATTGCATTCATTATCAACCTCACTGTCCTTGCAGTAAAAAAGAATTGCTTCAGTTTTTAAAGATTTATCAAGTTTTGAAAATACCCTACGCGTGATACTCTATAGTTTCATCATGGGAAAGAAGATAAATACAACAGCAGAAATGAGAAGCTATGTAAAAGCCTGTGCTAAACTTAAAAAAATCAGCAAAGGGAACATTCGAAGAGGTACACAATATCTATGGAGACCAACAGCCGTCATACAGAACCGTTTCCAGGTGGCTGAAAAAAATTCAAAGATGGGAGAGAAACTGTTAAAGATGATGTACAATCCGGACGACCAAAAACGGTTAGTAATGCAAAATACTTGCTGAAAATCAAAGTATTAGTGGAAAAAGAGGGAAGATACACTGTTAAAGACTTAGCTCGAATAGTAGGGATATCAATGGGAGCAGTTCACAAAATTCTTACCAAAGATCTCGGTTATAGGAAGATATCTGCAAGGTGGATAGCTCATTTACTGAATGAGGAACAGAAAGCTAGTCGTGTTTCATGTGCGAACAAAATAATCAACTATTCAAAAAGAGGAAAAATCGACTATTTTCAGACTTAGTAACAAGAGATGAAACGTGGGTTCATTATTTTCAGCCGCAGAGAAAGTTTAATAATAAAGTATGGATGACAAAACATGGAAAGCGTCCAGTAAAAGCCAAACGCTGTCAGAGCACGAAGAAGATTCTTTTTGCCATTTTCTTTAATAAGGAGGGTGTTGTGTTGCAATTCCCTATTCCCAACAAGAGAAGTATTACTGGAAAGATGTACAAATGTAAAATTTTGCATAAACTAAAACAGCAATATAAAAACAAACGTCTAAAACTGGTATTAAGGGTCTCTTCTTGTTGCACGATAATGCTCCAGCCCACAAGTCCAAATTAAATTAGTCACATATCTTCTCAGTAAAGAAGGGGTTAATGTCATCCCCCATCCTGCTTACTCTCCAGATCTTTCCCCCTTTACCTTTTTTCTCTTACCAAAACTTAGAAGACATTTAGCTGGAAGACGCTATAACTCTAGGCCATCACTTGGCTCTGCAATTCGTCAGTTTGTGAAGGGTCTGCCTAAAGAAGAATATAGGAAAGCTTCCCAGGAGTGGATTTCACGACTAAAAAAGTGTATACGTCTTAAAGGAGAGTACTTTGAAGGAATGAAATAAAGAAATGCAAATTATGATATGTCCTTATTTTTTACTCCACTAAGGACAAAACTTTTTGAATGACCCTCGTACAAAAGGATTTATGAACATTTTGAGGATCTCCTAGTCCTAGTGTATTTTAGGCTAAACATGACATTGTTTATATTAATGTTATAAAAATAAGGTATACAACACAGTAATCATGGATAAATACAAAGATGACCTTTATAGAAAATGTTAACAAAAATATGTTAAACTTACCAGGTAACCATGTTTATACTCAGTAAGTAGTATTCATTAAATAATCCAGTGAAATAACATCTAGGCTGATCAAGGATTCAGCTGTTTAGAACTTTCTTGGTGGAAAAATGATTGAAAATCAGTTTTGGTACTGAAATCCATAGGACCATACAATTATTTACATCAAATCTCCAAGGCTGTCTTGTGGCAAAATAATCAGCACCGAGGCTGTGAGGGATAGCATGACATCATTATCAGAATTTGAATCGCTGCCAAGTGTATGACGTCACAGTGCACTCGATGCTGAATGCAGTTTAGGCATTGCCCGATCGAGAAGGCCAAAAGTGCACTCCGTTGACCCGCCCAACCAGAGAGCAAGCTGAGCGCGTGCGGCACGTGTTGAGGGCGTGCAGCGCGTTGTGAGCGCGTGCGGGGCCAAAAATGCATTCGATTGACCTCCCTGTCCAACTTACCAATCAGAATCGAGCATTTTCTATTCATTTGCATAAAAAGTGCACTAAGTTGACCCGGCCGGCCAGACCGTTTATACTACTAGCATGGATAAATTAAACTTATGCAGAGTATGCATAAAACGATAATTTTTTTGTCTTTTTTTAATATTTTTTCCCCTTTTATTTAAGAATTAGAGATACCTTTTTCGTACAAAGTTGATTACTAACAAACAAGCCAAGGAACCGATCATTACCACAACGTCAAATAATATAAGTAACCAGCTTTCTAATGAGATGCTTTTCAGTTTTTATTACTGACTGTGGAACTCAAAAGGAAAATATTTTTTTTTTTTTAATTATTACAAAAAATAAAGATGAGAACAAAAAGCATCAAATGGAACTGTATTAAAAAAAACAGACTGTTTGAAGTATATTTTTTCATGTAACAGGAAAATCACTCATTTGGAATTCAGATTTAAGCTCAAATTCCGGAATTGAATAATCGAGTTCTGGATTAGATACTGATATATTTTTGATCCTACATTATATCATTTTTAGACGGAGGCTGTATGACAGTCTCCGTATATTGTGAATGTCTTTCCCATGACGTAAAATAATGAGGATTTCCCAAGCACCATCTATCGGTGGAATTGTTTTCATTACCGGCCGCCAGGATGGGCATAGTCTAAAGCAAAGATCGCGTTACATACATGTATAAACAAACAGTTTTACTTTCTCTAAATAAACAGGATTTGTTGTATATATTTCAAATAGCGTGTATATAAATACATTTCTTACGGAAGATGTTAAGTAGATGTGATTAAATGTTAATATTTTATCAGACAGAATATTAGGAGATTTTGTTCCAACATACGATGATAAAACGCGTTTTACAATATGCCGAGCCTTTTCCCACCAATTCTCACACTAAAACAAGAACGAGAAAAAATGTAGTGGCGGATCTAGAGGGAGTTTGGGGGGGGGGGTTAACACCCTCTGAGAGCGATCGAGGAGCCCCACTTATCTATTGCTTTTTTATTAAAGTAAAACTATCTCTAGTTAAAGATAAGTTTAAATTTTAGTTTTAATATTTAATTGTAAAAACTACTTAAACATTACTCTTACAAGTAAGAGCCTCGGTTAACGTCCCTATGCTTCTTATATATCTTGGATTGGGTGCTTGTACCAAACTGAGTGTGGAGACGCAGATGGCTATGCTATGAGTAGTTTGTTTATAGATGAAGTAATGTACCTGTATTATGTATTGAAGAAAGTCCTGCAATGTCGCATGCAAATGTTTTTATGTCACTGGGATATATTAATTAACAGATAAATATAAGATATTTTAATAATAGATCAAACATTTCAGTTTCAATGGAATTTTATGCTTGATTGCTGTTTGTAATCTCCATTTTTCTTTTCTAATTTCTTCATGAAAGGACCAAGCGGTCGATTTTTGACGCTTGCGTCAATTGATATGTTTCTTGTGAGTTTTGTAATCTGACAAGGATCGATGAATAAACAATGCATACACAATATTTTTATCTGTAGGAATATTAAGTCTAGTTTTGAATTGTTTATTTTATATGTATAATTTTAGGAAACATATTAAATAAATTTACACTTTGTACAAGCGGTTTGAGTGTTTCGCATACATTCGGCATGCCCACACATTCTAAGAGAGAAACGAACGACAACTCTGATATTAAGATCAATATGCATCTGTTACGTTTGACCCGTTGGTTATAACCCAAACACCTAGTTCATAGGTTTTACATGATTTATCACATTATATCCTGATTAATGATTAAAAATTATATCTTCTCAAACTAGAGGTACTGTGAGCAATGAGCTCACTAAATGATACCCCCCGCCTCATATAAGAATAAAATGGAAGTGTCCATGTTTTGTTGTGGGAAACCCAAAATATGTGTCAAATCAAAAAGTAAAATAGGAGGTGCACAATGGCAATATGTAATAAATATTCTGTGAAAGTTTCATTAAATTTCCTTCAGTGGTATGAGAGTAGTTGCGGATACGAGATGGGTACCCCAAAGCGTAACAGACGGACGGACG